GAGTGAGTTGGAACAAGTGCAGTTTAATTTTTCATCTCTACTTATTGAAAATAGAAATTTGCAGATATTGAATACTTCATTGTTTGGAAATGCTCACCCACATGCTAGGAGTACCCCTAAAGGCACACAAAACAGTTTGTGAAAGATATAAAATAACAATTGATAAATTCTCTTGAATGTAATCCTGTGATGGACTTTTATCCACTTATTTATCCAGTTAACATTTATTGAGCACCATTTTTGTCCTGGATCCTGTGTAATGTGGGAGACAAGTAACCAGATGATTCTTACCCACCACAGTAAGTCTTGTGTTGTGGGAAATCACAGGATGGTGTGCCAGGAGAATTTGACAATATGCACCAAATGCTTTAAAAATGTGTGTCCTGTCTTACCAGTTGATCTACTTCTAGCATTGTAACCTAAGGCAGCTCAATGAAATCTTATCTATAATAGTGACACATTGGTAACTGAAAATGTGTAACAACTGATATGTCTATAAGTGGACAGACCATGAACTTATTAGTGATCACACAGAAAAAAATATTCATGATAATTGCTAAGAGAAAAAAGTAGATTACTGGACAGGGTTAAAAAGAGTTCATTTTCAAAGAAAGTTGAGTGAAATTACTAAAATACTTTCGAAATTACTTTTGTGTATTCCTTGCTTTGAAGAAATGATTTTGAAAGATGTGTTACTGTTATAATCTGGAAGTAGGGTGGAGTGTGAGTATGCTAAGCATCTTGCCAAATCTGTATAGTTTATCTGAGAGATAAACTGGAGCAGATGCATTTCAAAGGTGAGTTCTGAGCTGTGGTTAGCTTAGAGAGGCTGCCCTGGTGAGTGGGCTTGTTAGTAGGACAGGGCAATGTATTTTCACAGTGCTCCCAGTCTTTGGAGGTACATTTTGTATTAAGCAGATTGACTTGTCAAAAATGATTCTGAAAATAGTAGAGAAAAAATATGCCAGATGAGTGTGTGGGCAGCCAACCCCAGGGACATTACTGGCCATTTTGGCTTAGCTGGCACCATTAAGTTACTTTATCATGTGGAAACATCCCATATCTGGGTACTAGAGGTTTCAATAATATCTTCACTGAGAAATTATTTTTCCCCTTAGTTGATAATGAGGTAAGCTGCCAAGATCTTGACTGCTGTTCACTTTTGAACAGTAATCCCATTAAAGTTCAAAGTTTTTTTTACTCAGGTTTTGCAAATAACAGTTTGCTTTGGAAAATATTTATTCACATAAACATCTCTCAGTCTCAGCTTTATTCATGGACAGCCTTATACTTTTGGATATACCGTTAATTTGACCAATTTATAAAAATAATTATTCCCAATTTTTTCCTCCTTTACAGAGATGGATAAGCTTAGAAATTTCTAATTTTCTTGTTTTTATGAGAACTGTGCAATAACAAGTGAACAGACCTTTTCTGTGTCTGGATCAGATGAAGTGACTCTTTATGGACCCTTCATGTGCACTGCTTTCCAGTGTAGAGTGATAGGAAGCAGGCTGTCTGCCTCATATTTTGTTGTTTACTTCTTTACATGTAGTATAGATCTCCCCTTCATCTTTGGTATGGACTTCTGGAAATTTTTCTTTCTTTTTGGCTGTAATTAGAAGTTGGATGCTAGATGATGCAGAAAGAAAGGCATCAGAATAAGCACTACGATACAAATATCAGGGCCAAAAGGAAATAATTTTTACTTAGTGCCCCTTTCTGTAAACTGGAAAATATCTTTTACTTTTAAATTCTGTCTTGTTGAGTACTCATGTGCTAGATACTTGATGCACAACTATCTTATTAAATTCACATTATTCTGAGAGGTATGAATAGCCACCTCTCTTTGTTTTGCAGACAAGACCCCAAAAGATTAAACAATTTGCTTTTAGCCATATGTCCAGTAAATAGCAAGGTCAGAATTTGAATCCAGGTTTGTCCAACTCCAAAGCTCTTTCTGTTGCGCAAACTGCTGACTCTGATATGGGAACTAGAAAACACTTAGGGTTCTCAATTTCTGGTGACTTGGAATAATCTCAGTTCTTGCTTTATCTGTAAGATGAGAGGATTGAACCTTTAGAGTCACTTCTGGTTGTAAAATTCCGTAATTCCTAGGTTATTTTTATAATTCAAGCAAAAATGTATACAACTTCTTTAAGTTCTCTTTTGTGAGCAGCTTGTTGGGTTTGTATGTTAGCCTGATGATTTTATGATACCATCACCCCATGAAGATATAAGAGAAGGCAAAGCAGGATCATGGGTTAAAAGAAGGTACATTGTGTCAACTGCAGACTCACAAAAGAAAAAGTATGTGAACTGCTGATTCACAACAACAACAACAACTACTACTACTACCACTACTACTACTTGGAAGTACCTGAACATCAAAAGCAGCATGACCAAAATGGGTGGAGAGTTTGTGGGTGGGATCTGGTAATTGTCTTTAGACACCAACATTTACCTTCAAAGGTATATTGTGCCTGAATTAAGGAGTTTTTTGTGTGTGCATCTGTCTCAAGGCATTGAGGACTGTGCTAGAGGGCTCAGTGATGACTCAGTTTCAGTTCTTTTAGAGCCTTATAACATTTCCAGTTAAATGGGAATAGAGGTGGTTATGGAAGGGACACAGTACTTATTGACATAGGAGAGCTAATGAGATGACATGATGTAAAAAAGAAGTATTGTTATTGCAGTATTTTTATTTTATTGATACAATACCTTTTTTTTGAAGGTGCTGAACAAATAACAGAGATAATAAGCCATTTTAAAATGTCAGAACAAGAAATTGCCTAGGAGAAATAAATACACAGAAAAGAAGTAGTGGAGGCCTTACAGCCCTGATCCTGCATAGTGGCTAGTAACCGGCTACATTGATTGCACTTCTGTAAGTAGGTAGGGGCCTGACTTGTGTCTCTTCCTTGGGCCAGTCTAGTGCTCACAGTTCTGCATCCTGTGGTTGTGATTGAAGACCACTGATTTTGTTGTTAAGTGGATCTGTCCCTGCTACTTACTGTTAACTTGGAACAAATTACCTACATTTTCTGGACCTCAGTTTCTTTATCAACAGAATGATGGTTTTTATACTTTGCTTGTTAGGGTTTTCCTGAGGATTAATGTAAATGAGTAGTTCAGTGCCTGGCATGTAGTAAATACATCATAAGTGTTAGCTATATGCTTAGAGTATGTCAAAACAGTGTTTCTGACGAGGTTACAGAGCATGATAGCAGCAGCTTCTCTAGTTCAGAAGTTAAGTCTATGAGATGTTGTAAGGATCTTCTTTTACTTCTCCGTAATCTGTACTTCACAGAGTAGAATTGGGTGTTTTAAATGAAACAGAAAATACAGTTAATAATCACACTCAGCTACCTACCACTAGCTTAAGGAATAAAAAACTATAGAAAACCTTTGTTCTTCTCCTTACCCCTAGCCCCTAAGAGATAACCATTATCCTAAATTTGGTATATTATTGACTTGAATGCTTTTACCTTATATATCCATAAACAATTTGTAGGATTTTAACATGTTAAATTTTATATAAATAGTATATTGTTATATACACTTTTCTGTAGCTTCTTTGCTTTTCTCTCTTAACGTTGTTTTTGAAATTTTTCCATTGTAGTTGTAACTTTATTCATTTAGTTGCCATAGAGCATTCTGCTATATGAAGGAATATATCTTTTATAGTTTATTCTTCTGTTAATGGACATTAACTATCTTTGGCTGTCTGTGTGCCTCTCACCATCACAGTACTCTGCCTCAACCTAAGTAGTTAAAATGTTAATATTTTGGGGTTTTAAAAAATAATTTAGACATATATATCCCTAAACAATATATCTGAGTTTTGCCTGTTTTTAAGGTTTATGTAATTATAGTACAGTGGGTTGTGTTATTTTTTGGCTTGCTTTTTTCCCCAGCATTATGATTTTTGAGATTCATTCATGTTTATTTATATGACAATAGTTACTTGGTTCCACCATGTACATTATTCCATTGTTTGACTGTGCCATTATTTGTAGATCTTTAGGTTGTTTCTGACTTTTTACTATTGCACACAGTATTTAATTGGTATTCTTGTACATGTCTCTTTGTAAATGTGTGTTGAGTTTCTTCAGGCATATACCTAGGAATGAAATGGCTGGAGTGTAGGTAATATATGTGTATCTTTACTGGATATTGATATGTAGTCATTTCATTATTATTTAATTGTAAGGTTTTTTTAGTCAGTTGCTCTATGGTCAGATAATATTGCCTGTATCTTACTAATTCTTTGGCATTTGTTAAAACTTGCTTTATATTCTAATATATAGTCAAGGTTTAACCAGGTTTTAGTCTGTTTCTTAATAACTATTTCACATGTTTGAAAATAATTCATTCTCAAATTGTTGGATACTCGGGTCTATGTATGCTTATTAATTTTCTGTAAACTTATTATTTTGTCAGAGACAGTTATATTAAAATCTTCCCCTATAGAAAATTTATCAGTTTCCCTTAAATACAGTTTCCCATAGATGCAACCATTTTTATTTTATGTACATTTGACCCTTGGATTACACAGGTTTGAATATTGAGTCCACTTATTGCAACTTTTGTCCATCCAAACAAAAATAATCAAGGGATGTAAAACCTGTGTATATGGAGGGTCAACTTTTGTATATGTGTATTCTGCAGGACTCTCTGTGGGACCTGAATATGTGCTGATTTGGGGTCCTAGAACCAATCCTCTGTATACGAAAAGATGACAGTCTTTTGAGACTTTGGTGAATTTTCTTTTACTATTATATGGTGATCCTCTTTACTGCTAATAATGCTTTTTGCCGTAAAGTCTACGTATTCTGATACTACTCTAGCTATACTGGCTTTCTGTGCATTTATATTTACTTGCCTGGTATTCTTTTGTATACAGTTATCCCTTGTTGCATTTAATTTTTATACTAGCTTCCATTGTTTTCTAATACTCCAAGAGACTGTAAAGTCCTTAATTAAAATGATTTTCTCTCTCTTCAGATTTTCAAAAGAAACAACCAGATGATGATTCCGCTCCAAGTACAAGTAACAGCCAATCAGATTTGTTTTCTGAAGAGACCACCAGTGACAACAACAATACCTCGATAACCACGCCAACTCTTAGTCCCAGCCAGCAGCCGCTTCCGACAGAACTGAATGTAACTTCACCAAGTAAAGAGGAGTGTAAGTGCCCAGGTCCTTGATCTGGTAGGGAAAACAGCCGAAGAATCATATCACAAGCTTCTTGCTAACAACTAATTCCAAGAAACAAAACAAAACAAAAAACAGCAGCTCTTTAAATTCAAGATAAATATTCACACGTAGGGCCCAAGCTCAGCAAGTTAGAGAGTAAGTTTCAGCTTTTCCTCAAGAGGTAACCTTTTAGATTAACTGTCAAGGTACATGAAGTTTTGAACCATCCTAGAGCGGTGGCTCTCCGCTTTGGCTGTGCATTAGAATCCCCTGAGGATTTTTAAAATAATTTTAATCTTTACCACTATTCCCTGATTCTAATTTAATTGGTCTGGAGGGAGACCCAGGGATGTGTTCTGCAGAGGAATCTCGTGCGCAGCAAGAGTTTAAAACATGAGGGAACTTAACCCTGTTGTAGGAGCCTTGGATTGAAACTTTACCTGTGTTACTAACTGTGCCTTGACTGTGGCTAAGCATTTACTAAGTTAACATTATACTTCATAGAACATAGGATACTTAAAGGGAGGAGATGGCTTCTTTTATTCTTCTGTAAGTCTTCAGTGATAGAATACTGTGTGTGTGTGACATGGAAACTCATTGTCTACTTAATTTTTATAATACTATAATATATACATATCTTTTGGGGCACAACAATAACTGATAGTATTTTTTGAAAATTATAGGGATATTATGACAGAAGTTTTTGCTTTTTTAAAAAAGTTTTACTTAAGGTTGAAATTTAGTGTTTTAAGTTTAATGAATAGCTAGAAATATGATAGTTTAGATTGTTCTGTTTACTAATATTGGAAAGATTAGCAGAAAACAAATAATCATCTAAATCTAGCATAAACTACTATATTTGGTAATATTAAGAATATAAAATAAGGTAGGTCATAGTCCTTGTCCTCAAATAATTTACTGTTTAGCAAGGGAAATGAAATATATTTGTTGTAAGTATATCAGCAGCTCTCAACCAAGAATGAATGGAGTATTTATGTTGGCAAGATCTATACTTTCTCTCCCTATGGTTAAGGTATGTGGAAAGCCACATCATGACCACAAGTTACTTTATTAATTCATTGTGAAAAATCATATAATGGATTGGGGAAAATCCATATGACAAAAACATTTTTTCTAAGTCAGACCTTCATGGGAAGCTGGGAAGCCAATTCCTAACATGTTATTTATGTAGCAAATGGCAAAGCATGGACTCAGAACAAATAGAGTTCAACAAAGTAAGTTTTTGATCGAGTCAGGCTGATTGTCTAGTGTACTCTAAGGACACATAGGGAATGACTTGCATCTCTTTCAAGATTCCATCTTCACACCCCTTCCCCTCCTTTGCCTGGGCTTAAACTTAACTGCCCTGAGCAGTCTAGCCTTTTAAATTATAATTCTTCCTGTATTTCCATCACTTGCCAGTGTAGAATACTATGTTTGAATGTTATATTTTTTCTTTTAATATGTAAACATCTTCAATGTGATTGAGGAAATCTAGTTCTACTAGCTTCAGATTGATTATCTCTCTTTCTGATAACATTACAGCTTTGAACCATTGCGTATTCATTTTCGAGTTATACTCTTAACTAATCTCATTTCCTAATTCCTCAGACTTTTATAGATCTGGGGAAATGAGATTTGCCATACAATGATGGCTTAAGTTGGTGTTGTTTTCAAATGGGTAGGTTGAATTGGAGTTCAGGAGAGAGAAGTCAAGACTGACTTCATCTATAGGTTTAAGCCTTAGGGGTTGAATGAGGTTGACATGGGTGAGAGCAATGAAAATCAGTGAAGATAGACCCTTGAGTGAAACTTCTACATTTAGGGAGCAAAAGAGATAGATGAGGCAACTGAAGAAGTCAGAGAGGAGGAGAATGAGGTCACAAAAGCTAAGGAACACACTTCAGCTTACAGTGTAGGCTTTAATAATAATGATGAAAATGTTAGTTCACATTTATGAAGTATTTGCTATATTTTAAACCACTCCTCCCAGCTCTTTAGATATAGTAACAACATTTAATTTTCAATATAGTCTATGAGAGTAGGTTCTTTTATTACGCTCATTTTGACAGATGAGGAAGTTAAAGCATAAAGAAGTTTAGTAACTCCTGACCAAAGTTACAGAGCTACTGCTTGACAGTGGAGCCCAAGTTCCAACACATGAATTTGGATTCAGAGTTCATGCTTTCAACCACTATAGCATATCACCATGACTTTGTGAAAATGCTGCCAAAACTGTAAACCAACAGAGGCATTTGGATTTAGTGATCATGAGATTGATTACTTAAATAAGCTATTGAATAAATGACTTTCAGTGGTTTTATATTCATTTAGCAATCTTTGCTGAGTGCCTACTATATGTTAGGCACTAGGTTAAGCACTAAGTACAGAAATTAAGATTAGTTGTCTCCACACAAGGAGGTCAACCTTTTTTTGTTTTTGTTTTTGTTTTTTTGATTTGGAGTCTCACTCTGTTGCCCAGACTGGAGTGGAGTGGCCGCTCTCAGCCACCGTAGCCTCGACCTGCTGGGCTCTGGCGATCCTTCCGCCTCAGCCTTCCAAGTAGCTGGAACTACAGACGCATGCTACCATGCCCGGCTAATTTTTTGATTTATTGTAGAGATGAGGTCTCGCCAAGTTGCCCAGGCAGGTTTCGAACCCGCGGGCTCAGGCAGGCCACTCACCTCAGCCTCCTAAAGTGCGGGATTACAGGCTGAGCTACTGAGCCTGGCTACAACCTTTTGAAATACATATACCTCTCCTTGAAATTCTAACTTCTTCTGCCAAACAGGTGCCTATGAATTTTGGAGTGGAAGGGAGGCAATAGCTGGTAATGGTTAATAAGCGTGCTCTGCAAAATCTTTCTTTCTTAGGTGGGCTTTGCTACCTCACCTACGTTGAAAGCAGCTCTGCTAGAGTAAGAGATGTGTGTCAGGTCCAGGGATAAGAAAAGTAACCCAAGTTTGTTAAAACTTCAGGGTGGATGCATTCTAAGTCAACAGGAGATAATTAAAGTGATTACCAAGTAGCTGTGAAGACCTAGGTGAGATTAGACAGCTGATCCAGCCACACTTCGCAAATGTCTTCAGCTGTAATTTACCTAGGAGAATGGCGGAGGCAGAGGCAGCAGGGGATTACCTATGTTGTTATTTTAGTATGCTTAAGGGACCAAAATTTCATCTGTTGGTCCTTCTTAGCTTCCTCTAAAGAGGTGTGAAGAAGTAGGGTGTTGTAGTTGCTGGGAAATGGGTTTGGGATATCAAATCCAAGTTCCCTGTAGTTTATAAAGGACTTGTGGCGTTTAAATGCTGTAATGATGGTAACAGCTTACAGCACTACAATACTTACCAAGTACTAGTCACTGTTCCAAGTACTTTATATGCACAGTCATCCCTCAAAATATACACTGGTGATTGGTTCCAGGACCCCAAATTAGTGCATATTGAAGTCCCACAGTTGGCCCTGTGGAGGCTGCTTATAGGAAAGGTTGGCCCTTCATACACAAGACGCAATACTACATTTCTGATCTGCATTTGATTGAAAAAATTTGCACCTAAGTGGACCCACACAGTTCAAACCCATCTTGTTCAAGGCTCCAATGTGTTAATGTACTTCATCTTCATAATACCCTGTAAGGTAGGTACTTGTATTGTATCCATTTTACAGGTATGAAAATGGAGACAACCGTATGATGTCGCCCAAGAGCAGAGAGCAGTCTGGCTCCAAGGGCTAGCTCTCTGCCACCATATCATAGCTGCCTATCTCTATTGTGGTTTATAGTCTAAAGGAAGTTGCGTGCAAATTAGGCTGTACAAAGGAAAGGAGTGTTGGCCAAAATTTTAATAAGAATGAAACATTTATTTCTGCTTTTGCTGGTACCTGTTTACTGTTCTCCCAGTTTTCAGGATTTTCCTAAGGGAGATAAAGTGTAATTTGTAGTTATATTTTTTGACCCAACTTTTGAAGAGAGAGGGAAAAATTTCAGGTTGTAGTTAGAACACAGGTAATCAGTTGTTTTGTTGTTAAGTGATGGGCATATGACTGTTCACCTTATGTCAGTCTTACTAGATTAGATTTAAAAGATGAGAAATGTGCTCTTAACTCTCCTTTGAGTCTATTTTCTTATTGTCATACTCTTATAAACCTGGGCATTCCTACCATGACCTGCTTGGGAACCTTATGATGTGCGTACACAATCGAGTTTTTGGGTTTTCCTTCCCAAGTTCCACTAGCATATTGAATGGAAATCAAGGTGTTGGAGGGGCCTTGGCTGGTCTGTTTCCTTCTAGGTAGGAGAAGAAAAGGACTGGTGCCTGCTGCTAATGAAGATTAATAGCAAGAAGTGGGCTTGTTTTCAAATATTCTGACATTCTAATTCTACCTACCTCACACAGAACATTCTTCTAAACTCTGTGGAGGCCATATTGAGAATTCAGCAGGCTGAGTGCATTGGCTCATGCTTGTAATTCCAGCACTTTGGAAGGCTGTGGTGGGAGGCTCACTTGAGCCCAGGCTGTGGTGAGAGGTTCACTTGAGCCCAGCAGTTCAAGACCAACTTGGGCACAAAATCCCAAAAACGTATCTGGGCATCCCAGCTACTTGGGAGGCCGATGTAGGAGGATAGTGGGAACCCAGGAGTTGGAGGCGGTCATCTTGCTGCGGCACTCCAGCTTGGGCAACACAGTGAGATTTTTTCTCTCTCTCTCTCTCAGAATAAACAGCAATCAGCACTTATAGAAAGCTTGCTTACAACAGAGCTTGACAAACTATAGCCCCCAGGCCAGATCCTGCCCATCATCTGTTTTTTGTACTGCCCACAGCTAAGAATGCTTTTTACTCTTTTAAGCAATTGAGAAAAATTAAATACTATTTTGTGTAATGTGGAAATTATATGAAATTCATATTTCAGTGTTTATAAGTAAATTTGTATAGAAACATAGCCCCACTCACTCATCATGCATCATCTATGGCTCCTTCAGTGCTACAACAGC